GTTCGAATTTATCGAGGCTATAGGCTATACACATACTATATGTAACATCGCTTTGTGATACAAGCGAAGATATAGCGAGAAATGTGAATAAAAGGGGAAAATTATTTTCGAGGCGTACGCTGCAAAAACGGTTTAAGATGAAATAATAATTCCTCTTGAAATTATCTAAAAGTCCGCGACGCGATGTCCATCTTTTAAGAATATCTTGCAAGTACGAGGGCGACGACGGGTTGCGGGCGACGTTGTTGGTAAAAGCTATAATAATTTATAAAGACGAGGAGAAGGTTTGCAAAAACAAAATTTGATGCGTATTCTATGCGGACGAACGCCGACACAGCTATTGTGTATATAAGGTATTAATGAAAACATCTGTAATGTTTTTATGTTTATAATATTATTATCTGTTCAACTTTAAATGTCAAACGTGGGGCGTCACTAGAAATTCGCGTTGTGCTTCCAGACGCAACAAAAGGTGAATGTTGTCCCTCCACACAGAACGAAGTTTGTATTGTTACTTTGTGTTTCTTTTTGTCTTGTATGTGGAAAAAATGATTTGATTTGAAACCACATTTTAATTAAAGATTGTTTATGGTTTAAAATACTAGCTTTCAAAATTGTAATTTTAAAGTAACAACGTAAAAGGCCTTTCTACATTGAAATTCTAAGAATCTTCAGAGAGAAATATGTTCGCCCAGCCAAAGGATCAATATTTCTGCGAGTTTTCTAAGAATAGAAATTCATTAATATGATCCAGTTGCTTTTTATTTTGTGAGTGTTTTTTATCAATGTTGGGACCAGAGGATATAATATTTTTCTTCGTCTAACAGTTTTTGTTACAAGAATAGATCTAATTATTGTGACAGGATCTGATAGATCACTATTCATTATCCTCATTTATAAATGTATAAATGAAGATATATATATATATATAACGGAATCAAAGAAGTATTGTCCCTATGTTAACATATTATTGAACTTTTATTAAAGACTTCTGAAAATACCATGGACTGCGTTTCGAACCAATAACTCAGCTTGTTCTTGCATAGGATCTGCTTGACATGCTGTAACACCTCACTTAAGTCGGCAGCATCGCAGAGACGGCGGGCACTCTGAAACAAAGATACTCCGACAGAACTAAGTTGGCTGGGGTGGTGATGTGAGTCACCGTTCAAATACTGCTGCTAATAAAAAAAGCTGAAGAGTTCGAATTCAAACGAATTCGGGTTCGAATTGAATTTTTTTTTCGTGTTGGATAGATAATTTATCCAGGAAAGCTATAGGCCATAAAACATCGCGCTGTGACTAATAGAAGTGAAGATACAGCGGGAAACGAAAACAAAATGGGGGAAATTTTTCATCTTTATGGGTTTCAGATGCGTACGCTGCGAAAAGGGCTCAAGACACCCCAAAAAATAAGTATGTAAGAAAGATTCTTCTTTAAATGATCTGAAAAAATGTCCGCGCCACTATATGTCTATCTATTAAGATTAATTTGCAAGCACGACGGGACCCAAACGACGGGACGCGACTGATGTCGTGGGCAGCTTAAATTCATAAAGATGCAGTTTGATGCATGAATGTTTAACATGGTAATTGTATTAGATTTCAAAGGATTCTTAGAAGAAAATTCCGTTTAACATAAGAATTGCAAAAAGAACCTCACGATTTGCTGTCGAGTATAACCAAGGGTGGTCCCTTGACAAGACAGTAACTGACTTTAATCGTGTTAATTAATTACGAATGCGATTGAAGCAATCCCCAATGTGTCCGGAGCACACGAAAAGTGCATTAATCATAAGCAAACAGCACAAAAGAGGTTTTTACGGAGAATACCCTTACAGAGGGTCTGTGGTCTTTTCTACATTTGTCACCTTTTGTTGTTCGGAAATATTTCCCGACGAAACGCATTATGTGTTCCAATAAAAAGCGCGTTGTTGAATAAAGCGATTTTGAAAAGGGAATTTCACAGACGTATGAGACAAAGACCTGTAGCCAATTGGTTAAACGTGTTGCCTACAACGGTAAGAGCGAAAGGTCCCAAGTTCGAATTCTATGGAAATTATAGAAATGTGTAACTGCCTCATTGGTCTGGTGAACGCCTCCGCAGCTGAATGGTTAAACGTGCCCGACATTGCGTTAGCGCGACACGTCCTTAGTGCGAATCCCGGGGAAACAATAGATTGTTGAATTAAAAATAGAACGTTATAGAATAATTTAAGCTTATTTCACTAACTAACTCTTGGGTGAAACATTGTGAATATTTTTAGTAGAAAAAGCTAAGAAACACTAAAACGTCTAGTCACAAAAATATTTCGAAACAAAAAAGCAAATGAAATGGTTTCCGAGCGTGTTTTGTTTGCGTAAATAAAATAAATGCAACCTTTTCGTATTAAAGTTGTAGGGAGAGACAAAATAAGTCGCTACGTATCGGAAACTTGGCTTTAGGGATTTCCTACATTGTTTATCTCTAGTCTTGACAGTTAAAAGTACAAATCTCTCTAGGTGTGATCTTACGTAGGGCGCAAAATAATCTAGATTCTTGAAAAATCTTTAAAACAGCACTTCTGTCACAGCTTAACATTGATATTAGATTTAGACGAGTACTACATTAAAAAAAACGGTTTAAAACGGAAAACATTCTATTTCAGTTCACTTATTTTCAATTATTTTACTACAGCCCGACGTATTCGCGTGCAAGAACATGGTTACGGCTGATTCAATATATTTCGCGTTTCAAACCGTTATAAGTGCTATGTATAAACAGACTAGCTCAAAAAAATATATTTTTTACCCGGTGTCTCAATCTAGATTAGCGTCTAGATTTGTTAATGTGTACCAATGACAAGTAGACAAATGAAATATTCAGTAAACATTTCTGAAAAATATCTTTAAAAATTTAGACGCAAAATTATATTATTAACATGGTTTGTGAGAGTCTCGATAACATTGTCAAACGGGAATGTATTTTGAACAGTAGTATTCCTGTAAAATTCTTTTGTGCAGCTAAAGTTGATGCCACCGATCAATACGTAGTTCGGGAAGTTTGGTTAGGCTGCGGTCCTATATAAATGTCAAGGTGCTTAATATTAGCTCTGCATCAGTTTTAAATGCCGGTGATTTGAAACAACAAATGACGCAATGCGACTTGTTCGTATTTGATCTGCGGTTTTTATACGCAAACGTCTGCGAATGCCAGACACAACAAACTGTATAATAAAAGGCTTTTAACGGTTTTAAACGCGAAATGTATTTGTTAACTTATTTTTTATTTATTTAAGCTATGGTCCGACGTTTCAGATGATTTGTATTTTGTTAACACATTCACGCTCAATGGAAATATTTTTCTACAAAAATCATTATCTATAATTCAATTATCAATGAATCGATACGTTTTTTAACGAATGTCAAAATAAAACGTATAAAATTGTATGAAATTTATCAACTCTGGTATGTTTTTCTTGCCATCTCTACTTCTTATATTTTACTGCCAAAATATTCTGGTGTATTCGCATAGTGTCAACCATCTAACGGTCCTGTAAGGGTTAAAAGATATTGCCTTAATTAAATGTCTACTACTCGTATAAATTACATACCATATACCAAGCTGAAGAGTTTGTTTCTTTGTTGTAACGCGATAACCTCAGGAACTACTGGTGTGAAAACGATTCCAGAAAAATATGTAGCCAAGAATCATTTCTTTTTAAATGATCTAAATAAAAGTTCGCTATAGTATATGTCTAGTTTTGAACATTAACTTGTAAGAACGACGGGACGCGAACTAGGTCGTAGGTAACGACTTACATTTATAGAGTTCAACAGGAGGTGCCAAAAACAAATTTGACCAAATTAGCTATTTTACGCGGAAGAAGTCGCTAACACAGCTAGGTCTGTGATAAAAAAAGCCATAACGCGGATCGTAGTACGCGAAGTAGGAACAGTGTTTATAGGCGACTGCAGCCTTACAGAGCAATGTCATCGATAAAGTTCAAACTTCGAAGGGAATAAAAAGAGTCGATGATTACACTACTTGAAAATTCAAAAGCAATAGTTATTCGTTTGCTTTCAGTACGTAATAAATTTTTAAGAGTTTCGAAAGATATAGTTTGCGGGAAATCGAGAGAATATTGAAAACGGAAAAGTAATGGAACAAGCAGTCGCCAATTCGTCGAATTTTGAACGTATTTCACTGCGAAACTTCGTCGTCTATAAATTCAAGTTTGCATACATAAATAATTTAAATCGTCGTAAATATTAGATTTTTACGTTCTTTATTAAGTACGCTCATGCGATCATACTGAGCAGAGTAGCTTTAATGCATTGTCGAAAGCTATCTATCGCTTTATGTACAAAGTTCAAACGTCGAGCCGTTGTTCAAATAATTTTCAAATGAGTTTAACTAATATATATCGCGTTTTAAACTGTTTTATTTAAATCCAAACGTCCTGTTCTAACACAGCCCTTTACTTGAAAGCCATATTTTTTTTTTTATTTCCCTAAGTTTATTGTTATTTACGTTTCATAACAATAAAAGTATGTAACTGCCTGCTTGGCCGAGTAACCGCCTCCACAGATAAATGGTTGTCCGGCATTGCGTTAAGCGCGAGAGGTCCTGGGTTCGAATTCCGGGGAAACAACATATTGTTTCGGTCTAGCCAGGCATGGAAACCTAATCAACTACTTGCGTTTAAATAAAATCGATCACTGAAATGGACACAGCAATGTGTTCGCCCCTTGCCTCACGGTGGGTAATGGAAAATCCCGTTTCCCACCACAGTCAACCGCATTCGAATAATTAAGTAACTGCAGTCGTTTAACTTAAGTTACTTAACTTTTAGCTTAAACGCTAAAGAGGACTGGCGCTCAACAGTGGCACAGGTTAAAAACAAACAGTAGAAATATACAATTTGAATGTCGCTTGATAACGGAGCTCTCCTGAAAACAAGGAAAAATTCGCATAGAGAAATTCAAAAGAAAAATAAAAAAGCTCGCAGATAAGTAAAATGCTTGTAACTCAAGGGAGGGACGTTAACTTCATGTATGTATGCAAATGCGGCCGACGCGACGCTGAAATTTGCAAAGACGTGAAGTTCCGTGTAATTACACTATTTCTTAATGATTATGCATTTTAAGCCGACTGCGAAGCCAAAATTAAGAGTAATGATTTTGTTAATTTATATGATTAAAATACTAAGCCTCAAAAATTTACATCGCGCTAAAAATAATGTTTGTTGTACAGTTCAACATACCGTTGACAAGTTTTGGCAGATAAAATATAACCACTACCACTGCAATACAGTGTTACTTTACTCTCCTATAATTTCAACCCTTTTAAAGATTTCACATAGGTTGTGAAAGAAAAGGGTTGTGGGTAGTATTTAGTCGTAAGAATAACTTCACTGTGCTTCTTCATTACATGTATTAAATACTAGATGTACCAGCGACTTCGTTCGCGTGGCATACTTATTTTGGGCGTCCAAATTCGTTTTTACCCACGACGTCGTTCTTGCAAAATAACCTTTAAAGATAGGCATTTAGTGTGACGGAATTTTCTTTAATCATTTAAATTGATGAAAATTTAAGGATTTTTTCCAAATTTTTTCACATTCTCGCTGTATCTTCGCTTGTATTAGTCACAGGGCGAAGTTTTATAGGTTTAGAGCCTTCCTCGATGAATGCTCTAACTCGTAGTCAATTGTATATATATTTTATTAAAAGTATCAAAGCCATGTTAAAATATGCAATTGTATAATAATGTATTTAATAGAGACTTAATATTATATTAATATTATTAAAAAAAAACAAAGGATAAACGTGTCTACATATAAAATTAATAGTTTTACTTCGTATTAAGCAAATTCCCACAAATAAAAGCCCAGTTAATGAGAGACAATGTACGAGGCAGTCGCTCGCCTCAAAAAACCTCCTCAGAGAATGTGACAGGGGAAGTTTTTACCAGAAAATTTTGCACATAAATTACGTCACATACTCTCTGGCCCGCCATTATTTGGCCTTACACAACTTTGCTGCGAGTACTTTTTATAAGTTTTGCGAGTTCCTTGCGATTCTCGCGAAGAAAACAAGTGAATTATACGTGTGATTGAATGGGAGTGATGATGGTTCGTTAGGTGCAAATATTAATGCGTAAATATAACTAGACTGAAATTTTATGACTTGAGTCATTTTTATTTTTATCGTCTAAAAATGTAATAATCGAAAATAAATTGAAAAAATGTTCGACTCTGGAAGGACTTAAACCGGCATCGTCAGCGTTCCGTGCTGTTGCTCTTCTTTCAATTTATTTCCGATGTTTTAAATTATATAGCGCCTTCATGTGCAATAAGATGTAAAAAATATTAAAGTTTTCAAAGAACAATATTATTTTTTGTTGAAATAATATGTGTGTAAGTATTGCCTGTAGTTAAAGCGAGTAGTACATATTTCAATAAAACACTTTTAACTGTTTAAAACGCAAAATGTTAACTTACAATTTCTTTAACTACGGCCGCACGTTTTGGGTGCTTTGCAGTACAAGTATAGGGACTTAAGATGGAGGGTGTTCAAAGCAAAAGAAATTACGTGACATGTATTAAAATAAGTTAATCACGTTTTAAACCGTTAAAAGTATTTTATTTAAACAATGTGCATGTTTCTAAAATGGTATAAAGTACCTCAAGAGGTCATGACGACAAGGTATTTCAATAATATTTCTTAACTTCAAAAACATTTCAATAAATTAATTTCAAATCCACTTACTATTTACTAAATGGTAGAGAAGCCCAGTTAGTAATGAAATATAACGAATCTACTTGAACTCAATAGACAGCTTATTTAAATATTTGTCTTCTTCAAAGCGAGTACAGAATGGTGTATTCATTAGAATGTTATTTTAAGACTAGACTGGGCTTACCTCAAGTTGCTGATTCAACTGAAGTTCAAATTTTATCTTTATTAGATAACTTTATTAACAATAATTATTGTATTCATAACAGATAATTTTCCAGTAATACACATTTAATATAACGATTTAAAACGCGTAATATTTTTTCTCATTTAATATTGACTACGAACCGACGTTTCGTATGCTTCATATTCGCAGTCAGGGCAAGTCCAATCGTTAGAAATAAATAAAGTTTTATGCACATTTAAAAGTGGTTTAATTATTGCAATGCCTATAAAAAAGATCCCTTAATAAGTTTTTTATGTAATTTAGAACCGTCTAAAACTATGACCTACAGTATCAAACCATAAATTCCTACATTATTCTTTTAAAAGCTTGCATTTGACTTTTACAATTTATTAATTTTAGTAATTCATATACACACTGTCTATAGTTTACGCGAGTAGTACACATTTAAATAAACACTTAACGGTTTAAAACGCGATACATTTTAAGTTAGTTTGTGTGGTCACAGTCTCCACGGCTGCTGCAAAGCACCCGAGTTAAAAATGATTTTCCAACAAGTGTAACTAAAATATATCGAGTTTTAAACCATTAAACTGTTTTATTTAAACTCATATACATATTAAAATTGTAAAATCAACTGGCAATCGACTAAGAAATGTCGAGTAATATGTGCGCGTTAATTCTGGACGTAAAGAAAACTTCTAAATTTGGAAAAGTTTTTAAACTAGAACTAGAACTAGAAACCAAAAGATTACTAATCGAATATTAGACCCTGATTATACCGACTCATACGAGTGATTTTTTTTTTTTGAAATGATTCTAAAATAGTTTTAAGCATCTATAGATGCAAGGGTTGCCTGGAAGAGATCGTTCTATAGCGATAAGGCCGTTGCACTCTATAACTGGTGAGAATAATGTATCTTTAAAAATTCTAATATTAAGAATATTTTAAGGAATCATGTATATGTTCTTTGTGTTTGTATGTGTTGCAATGAAGAATTAAATAAATAAATGTAGATTAAGGCCAGAACAAACCCAAAAAACATAGTTGTTCCTTTTTCGTCCGGTAAAACGAAAAAGCTAAAACTGGATAGTAAGTTGTGTTTACAATAAAATCTCGCAGAAACGGGCACACCTCGAGGGTCCGCGAGGTCTTAACGAGGAAATAGTGGTTGTAAATCACGGGAAATTCGTTCTTATTGAATTTTCCTTTTGTCGGTGTACGGAAGCGCGCTTTTTGTTCCGAATGGTTGCCTTCAGAAATGTTAAGTTTTTATTCACGAGTGTACGCGGACGTTGATAAAAGACTCAGGACGGTTTACGTATATTAGATTAATAGAGCTTTTAGTTACAGAATAAACCCGTTCTTCACTATCGTATCCGAGATACATAACACATACTCAAAGTAAATAATTAAAAATCAAAAATAAATTGAAAAATAAATTTTGATTCGGGCAGGACTTGAACCGGCATCGTCAGCGTTCCGTGGTGTTGCTCTATCAATTGAACTACCAAGTCCTACGCAGTTGCCAGTTCAAGTCCTGCCCGAATCGATTTTTTTTTCAATTTATTTTCGATTTCAAATTATATAGTGCCATCATGTGCAATAACATGTAAAAAATATTAAAGTTTTCAAACGTTAACAATGTATTTTAAATAAATTGTAAATAAGTTACCCTAGCACATTTCACATACACATAATATAAATGTAATTGAATATTTATTTAAAATTAAATTAATACCTGTTTATTTACCTGTTTAACTCATTTCTGCCAAAACTACATTTAAGAAATGATTAAGATTAAAAGTGCTAAAAGGAAATAAACATGTAGAAAAAAACGAGACGAATTTTACACAAGTACAAAAGGGAACCCAACCTTTAACATGAGGAGTTTTAAAAATATTACTCTTTCGTTTTAATAACATTTATTTAAGAAGGCAGACTGGCATAGTCGAAGCGATATAATGAGGCAAGAATTTACCGTTTCAGCCCGGTGGTAGCGGCTACAGGCATGGTGCTTTTTGCTTTTCAAGGGCAGTCGACCGTGCTAGCCCGTGCTTCGACTGCGGGACTATTCTGGTAACCATCACTAATCTTAATACCAATTTTTGTTATTATTTTTAGATTGCAAATACACTGTATGACTCATCAACGTAGCCAAAGGAAATTATCCTTGCTTCTTCTTTAGTTCGAAGTATAAGTTTATTAGTTGAAAATCTGAGTGTATTAGAAGGATTTAATCAGATTACTATACACATAAAGCTGTTGTGACTTTTATATGAAACAGTGAAATTGCATAATGTTCCACTTTAAATTATACTAGCTGTGATCGCGACTTCGTCCGCGTGGAACAATTGTGTCAGTTTTTTTTTTTTTTACAAACGAATTCAATCAGCTCAAAATATTATCACTGTTACCAACGACGTCGTCCGCGTTTTGTCGTTCATGCAAGTTATTCTTAAAAGTTAGACATACCATTTACAGGACATCGTGCAACAATACAAAAAAAATACTTTTTCATTTGAATTAGTAAGTTCTGACTGTGGGACGTTTAAATAAACAAACAAACTTTTCAGCTTTATAATATTAGTATACATTAAATAAATTCGGTTAAAATTGACTTCGATTTCCAGAATAAGCCCGCTGGGCAGAAATATTATGATAGCGTCACTTCTGTACGTGAAAACTCATTCTGCGAGTAACGAGCGAACAAATTATGAAAAACCATCTCGCTTAAACCGAGTTATAACGTAAGTACGTTTGCTCAGTGACGAAAGTTGAACACTGTTAAACAGACTAAATAATCGTGTTAAAATATGCTTTTTGGATTCTATACAGCGTGTTTTTTTGAATAACATTTTTGATGTTTTCTTTTAGTTCAGGATATATAGGAGGTTATTTATACTACGGACTTATTGTCTTGTGTTCTGATATTTTATACGGGGTGCCACTAAAATTATCAAATCCGATTTCACTATGCATTAAAGGTATTCATTGCAATAAAACTAATTTGAAAAACGAAAATTACCAATTATTTTCTATGAAACGAGACAGCCAAGAAAACCAATCAATCGGCGATTGTCATTCATTCTATTAGCTGTGGCTATAAGTGATGTTTTTTGATAGCTGGCTGGTAAGATAAGTAATTGTCCACAACTTTTTAAACTGATAAGTTCCGCTTCATTCGTTCTATGTATCGGTTTATATTAATAATTCATTATTTCTAAAAAATATAAACCTTAACTTACAGCTTAAATTTAACGATGTAGGAGAGCTTTCACCCAAATCTCAAATTGCACGCTTAGAGCACTTAAAATCGTTTTAAAATATATATGATAAATTTGAAGTATAAAAAGAGCCCTATATATAATCCTATATATAAATCTAGAAAAAGTATATCTCTAGACGTTTCGCTTCTTAGTGAGAGCCCTCAGAAAGACTTATTTAAGTTTTTATAGTACTTGAAGAAAAAACAGAATATTTTACTAAATCCACAAATGAGCGTTCTCCAGATCTTGGTATTGCTTGAACTGTGTTTGAGATGCAATTATTTTTATGGTACCGTTGCGAAATTACTGTATATTTACAATATAAAATGGCTTCTGAGACACGAAATTTATAATAAACGGTAATTTAAAAATAAAATTTGGTTTGTTTGTTTCACTAATTACGGAAACTTCTAGAACTGGTGCGAATTGACAATCTATTTTTGTGTTGGTTGACTGCATTTATTGGGGAAGGTTTGAAGATAACATAAGCGATAAATTGGGAACTCACTGTTTCTGGAACTGAAGAAAAATAACGGGGTTGTTAACGATACCGGAAAATACGTATAGAAGTATTATTCTTAATTAAAAATTCTAAAAAAAGTCTGCGACTGTATAGTTATGTTATAGTTTTTCTCTCTTTGAACCCCAAGTGTAAGGTGATATTGGGCTTCTAAAAAGTTTAGAACAGATTCAAAGTGGCCTAAAATGTGGATTTACTTTTCACGGTTTTTTTAGACGGGACTGCCGTGTAAAATAGTATGAAAATTATTAAAATACACGTTGGACCTGATGGGAATCGAACTAAAGACCCGTTGATCGCTACAATTGGCCCAATAAGCCCGTCAAAGACCAACAACGATATATAGCCTAGCCATAAAACAAAAGCAGTCACTATAACTCAAATTTCCGTCCTGACAGCTGAAAAATAAAGTGTATTTATTATAAAACGATCGGATGCGAAATTCGCTGAATGCGGAGCATTGAGGCTGATCTGTACACGAGGGTTGCGTTGTAAATCTTAACGTGAAAGTACGACAGTTCACTATCTGTTTCGACATATTTGGCAAGGCAGCCCGAATAGCAGCCAACTGTGACACTGCTCTCCTGTAGTGTGTGCTGCTGTAAGATTGTAAATACCGTTATATTTCAAACTGACTAGCTTATAAACTGTGCATATCTAAATAAATATATGAAAAGAAATCAAAACTATATAAATAAATTATAATGAATACAATATTTAAATAAAAAACTTTAACAGTTTAAAACGCGATATATTAGTTATTTGAACGCGTTTTAAACCGTTAAAGTGTTTTATTTAAATGTGTACTACTCGCATAAACTATAGACAGTATATAATGAATACAATAGTAAACTTATACTATACTTATATGTGTGTATCTTAGGTAAACAAATAGAAGATAAAAACATTTAAATTCAATACAAAAGATATCAAATCTAATACATAGTATATTACTAACAAAGTAAATTACTATTATTGATTTCGTAAATATACTGAAGAGAAATCCGTAAAATTGTAAATAATTTTGAAGGAACTCCACTCTCGTTCTGATTGTCCTAAACGAAACTTACCGAGCCGCCATCTTGACAAGCCAGCTACCGAAATCAGTTCACATTTCGAAGCTTATAAGCTCCTTAGACAATTTAAATTTTGACGGTATTTGAAACCTTACAGTCACATGTATAACTTAAAAGTTCTCCAAGATTTATACTAGACATCTGTATTAGCTGACGTTTAACTGGATTCAAATGCTCGTGAAAGGTTGACGTATAGAATGCACTGCGGTTATCGCATTGATACTTTTGACCTAGCTAAGCGAGTATTGTGGCTTTCCAACATGCATTATCGTCTTACTTGAATTCTTAGGGATAACAAGAGGAACCAGATATACATAACTTATCTTATCATCTTCATCGCATTCTTTGCTGAAGGTCGTGCTTATTCTTAGCCATTAGTCTTTTTAACCTGCTATCTTCTTTTCTACCCTTGGCTAAACGAAGAATGGTCGGTATACTGATGCCTGTCAACTTGGCACTTGGTCAGTCCATAGAGGTAATCAACTCCGTGGTCTTTTGTCTTCTAACAACAAAGCAAAGTCATCTGTAAGCTCTTCAGTAGCAAGTAGTTGATAGTCTAGTTTGGATGTGTGAGAGTTAACCTGTTTGATTACAGACTAAGGTAAGCGTAACATTGTTAGTACCACATTTTGAAGGAGCCTCCTTTTCTTCTCATCTCTCGGTCAGGTGTACGTATTTACCACGCTCAAGAATATAGAGAAGGCTAAAACATATACCAGTCTGGATTTAGTGTTATTTACACAGTAAGCGTAACTAGTATAAATGTTTATTAAACTTGTTAAATAGTTTTTATAACATAGGAGTATACTCTATTTAGACGTTTGTGAAACATATCTACACGTACAGGATTCACTTGATGAGCCCGTCAATTTTCTACGATGTGGATAACTTTCTTCATTTTCTTACATTTTATAATATGTTTCCAAAACGTAGCTAGGTTTTGGAATCGTCCAAATATTTGATAATATTATGTAGTTTAAATTATTTACCAAAATATTTACCACTACAATTTGAAATGAACGAGTAGTAGACAATTTTGGAACCTTATTATGATTAATGATGTGAAAAATCATACAAAAGTCACGAACAATGATAATGTTTTAACAACGATCACTCAAGACTGAATAGATAGCAGGTTTTCACCAAGTATAACCATCAGACCCCTCACGCGATCGAGCGATCATTGCTTTTCACGATCTCGGTGAAAATATTTACAGTAAATTCACTAATGTGTAAATCTGGGTTTTCGTTACAATTTTAGTAACCGTTGCTTCACTATTTACAAGTCAAGTGCTATCGGTAGTTTACGCGAATTTAGTTTTAATGAAACACTTTTAACGGTTTAAAATGCAAAATCCATTACTTAAGAAATACATTCAGACGTAATCATGGCTTATTGTATCCCTAAAACCAAAGTAAGAACTATAATTAATTAAACTATAAATAGTTATAAATGTTTAATTTTCTAACACAAAATTATTGGATAATATTATGTAGCATTAAACATTGACTATTGTCATAAAATGACGTCAAGTCAACAACACAATGCTCGTATCAAATTCAATGTTTCAAAATAACTCGAAACAACTAAAGGCGCGATGGAAAGAGAACCTACATATGACGTCAGCGTGTGAGGGAGACAAAAACAAGAAAAGCAAGCGGCGCGGGCGTCACGAGTCTGAACGCGACCTTTAGCGTTTATAGCGGACCGCAGCCTTAGTTCAAGCGCTAAGCTATCGTTTAAGTTAATATAAAGGTATGGCGAACTTGACACAAATTGGTCCTAACCATCTATTGACTGAAGATATTCACCGCCTTCTATCCGAATGTCACTTAGGTCAGGTCAATGAATGGCTTCGTTTACTTAACGGGACCGACACTTAATTCAATGACAGCTACCATACTCTCGTGTTTACCATGTTTTTATAGAAAGAAAAATAAACAACAGTACAGCACCGTAGTAGGTGTATTTCTTGATGTCTCTTTCATGGCTAACGATTTAAGACTAATAATCAAGTCGTCAGTTAACTTACAATTTGTTTTAACTACCGTTCGACGTTTCGGATGCTTTGTAACCGTCGTCACGGAGTGATATATTTCGCTTTTTGAACCGTTGAGTGTGTTTTATTTTAACTTTTCTGAAACACGTACTTCGTCTGGCCCTGTAATAATATGGGTGGTAGGAACATCGATATTCAGTCCGGGTCATAAACCACTATCTACAGAGAAAAAAATCGTGAAGATTCATCATGGCTTGTTTGGCTTTAGTGTGTATCTAGATTACCAAATATAAAAAGGCAAAATAGGTCGACAGCGAGGGCTCTATGAAGACATAAATCACTTTTAGATTGAGTTATATTAATTAGGATTTATTTTTATATGTATAAGTGGTGTAGCTTACTATCAATTTGTCGCAGCCTATGTTTACTAATTACCGCTAAAAACAAACAGATCTCGTTAGCTGTTCCAGATTAGCACGCTCTTAGACGTTCCTCATAAATAAATTATCTAGTAATTTAAGCCGAGATCACCAGAGCACGCCCCGAACTTTACCTATTTCTCTGTTTTGCTTAATAAAAGTGAGAGAAACACAAAAGTTTTCAAGGGGACACTTTCGTTTATTTGCAATTTTATTTCGTCGCATCTCTTGTTTACATCTCATGTTTTGTAGCAGAAAAATATTATTGTAGGTGGAATCAGCGAGACGGCCACTAAAAGGGAAGACTGCTTTTTTATTAGCTTGTACGTAATCAAACATTTGTGGACCGGATTACATTTTTTCGGTACGTTAATCCTGTAACGATTTGTGGCTTTGAATAGATTTAGGCATTGGATTG